GAGTACGGAGCGCGCTTTAGCAAACTCTCCAATACTTTCCCTGCCTATTTACCAACAAGTGTATGGTGGATTGCAACGGAACTTCATTTTGTTTTCGTAATTCACAACTTTACACGTTTGTCAGCAATTGCGAGAAGAAAAATAGTTTGCAGAAGAATTTCTTTTCGTAGTTTCGGCTATAAGTTCCTCCTGACCTTGGTTTCCAATAACAGCTTTTGTAAACTGCCTAGTCGTTGTGAAATCAAAAAACTGTTCAGCTAGAACATAAAGCTAGAACGATTCTCTCCTGCGATGTACTGAATTGCCAATACACGACTCCATACAGTGGCAACTATTGAAAACACCAACTAAAATTCGTAAAAAAGGAGGCTGGAATTTTCCAAAACGATCGTTTTCATTTGCAGTCGTAGCAAAAGACAAGCACGAACGAACAGGATAAATCAAAATTTGAGCTGATCAATGAAAAATCGCAAATCAGTGACGTGAGAAGGCACTGTTTAGGCATCAGCGTCCTCAGGTTTCGGGCAAATTTTAGCAAACTGCGTGCCGAGCGTGTCGAACTCGTCGTTCATCTTGCGCGTCACCGGATACGCCTTCTCACAAATACGCTCGAACTCGTCGGCGGCTTCGTTGACCTGGTGGGCGAGTTCGACCGAGCGCTCCGGCTCCAACTTCATGCGATCCAGGGGAAGAAGACTGAAAAAGAATTCGAAGAGGGGCAGTCGGCAAAGGGGCAGGGGGCGCACACAGGAACAGGATACATAGGAGTGTCGCGGAAAGGGGTCGCGTAATGGGTTCACTTGTTTCTGGCGGTTCCTCCAACATCTCCCTTCTGATGAAGTGCTTGACGGCGGTGGTCGTGTAGACGCGGAACGGGGCACTTCATACTTGACGGCACATCAGTGCTTCGTAACGGTGGGCGGACGGCGATGCGTTTTCCTTGGATGATGGGGGCCGAGCTCGTCGAGCTTCTTCTGCTTGATGGGACGAGCTTGAGCGGCTTGCTGTTCGTCAGCGGGCAAATCTCCATCTGGTCGTGGAGCGGGTCGTTCAGGCGACGTCTCTGTCGTCTCTGTCTCTTTAAATAGCGAAAAAAAACACCACTTAAAAGTGCTAATTTTTTGGATATTTTGGCAAATTTGGCTTTGGTTCGTTGGCGTTTTCTTTTGTGGTTTTTATTCAGGCCTCTCCTCCACGCACCTGAATAACGAAACGCGAGAAAAGAAAAGCATTGAGCCGTCGTTTCTCAGTTTCTCAGCTCGGACAACACATTCCAAATTCTTTAAACCCCTCGAGGTCAATCCTTTGCTTTACAAAATCTGCTCTTTTTCTTGTTAAAAAGGATTTTTGCGATTTCTACTACAGGAAAATACAAGGCATAAATTCTCAAGTTGTATGCCTCTGCGCCTGATTTCTTTCGATTTCCGAATTTGTCAAAAATCCATTAGCAACTTTAGTAAACCGGATACGTTATTCGTAGCTTTGGAAAAATTTTTCTAGCGATAACAGCCACGAGAGAAGCGCGGCAGGATTTTAGTGTCGTAACCCCAAATCCCGCCAAAATTCTGAAGTTGCCTTTCTTTCGCTCTCTCTCTATCTCTCTCTCTCTCTCTCTCTCTCTCTCTCTCTCTCTCTGTCTGACCTTCTCCTTCACTTTTTTCTCTTTCTTTTAGTGACTCTCGCCTAGGTCCACAGTTTTTGAAGTTCCAAAAAACCTGGTCCAAACCCTTGCCACCAATTTCATATGAAAATCGACAAAATTTGATTCCTCCACTCGCCCGGATTTTGGGGGCAGCTACTTGTTGATTGTTTACAAGGAGCACTCTCCCCGGATTCGATGAAAAAGGACAAAAAGAGGATGCGGGGTCCTCGAAAAAGGGAGCAGGGCCAGCCACGAGGGAGTGTTGACCAGCCACCACCCTCCGCTTTCCCTCGGATCTCTCCCCTCCCCCTTTCCGTCTTCCACCTGTTTACGCCTCGGGTTTCAAGCCATTCCCTTGGCCCAGCAACCGATGGCCAGACGTTTCCCACTTATTTCCCGTCGACCTGTGCTTTTTTTTGGGAACGTCTCCCTTGAACCCTTCCGGCAGGTGGTCTGAGGTCCCGGCCGATTTTTTTGTCCCTGACGCCCTCAAAATGAGGTGATACGATTTCCGGGCGGCTCTGCTTTGCCCATTTTATGCCTCCCGCTTGGCAGCTTTTACTATTTGTAAACAGGACAAGGTGAATTCGGCTTCCGAAATTTGCAACGACTTTGGCTGCCGCACGCTTGGCATCAAAAATTAAAATTCCGGCCTTAAAATGTGTTATATTTCGTTAATTTCTTGAAAAGCCACTATTGTTACGGCACTTTTCTAAATTATTTCTGAGAAAGAAGGACAACACTTTAATCTCACTACTTCTTTCCCTACCTCCCCCTCTCTCTCTCTCCCTCCCTACCTCTGTTTTCACTGGGTTATGTTCATTTTTCCTAAAATTCATTTTTCCTAAATTCATTTTTCCTAAAAATCATTTTTCCTAAAAGTCATTTTTCCTAAAAATCATTTTTCCTAAAGTTCATTTTTCCTAAATTTTTCATTCAATAGGAATGCGTAAAAATATCAAGAAATTCCGAATGCTATCATTTTTTAGCAGTATTTGTTTGGTTTGGTTATTAGTAGGCTTTTATCGAAAACCTTTCTTATTATCATTGATTTTTTTTTCACTTCCAATCACCCAAATCTAGGCTAAACGCGCAACTAAAATACTTCCTATGATCACTCTAGGCAGATCTGACCTTATTACAAAAAAAATTTTCGATTTTCTCATGCATAGTACTAAAGAACTAGGCCTTTACGGTATTTAACCGGTTTTAGGAAAAATGAACTTTAGGAAAAATGATTTTTAGGAAAAATGACTTTTAGGAAAAATGAATTTAGGAAAAATGAATTTAGGAAAAATGACTGTAATTCGTTTTCACTTCCACTCAGTCTCGTTCGCGGCATATGTCTCTTTCATTCTGTCCTTATTTTTTCGCTTTCTCTCTCTCTCTCTCTCGCTCTTTCTCACTCTCAATCGCACTTTCTCTCTCTCTCTCTCCCTCTACATCGCTTTTTGCTCCCTCTCTGGCTCTCTTTCGCTGCTTAAGTCTCTCTCACTCTGTCCTATTTTTTCGACTTCCTCTCTCTAAACCTCACTCTCGGTCAGCCCATCTCTCTCATTCTTGCTCTCTCGTGCTCCTCCTCTCCATCTGCCTCTCTCCCTTTCTCTGACTGTCTGTGGTTCGTCATATCATAATTTGCATCTCTAACTGGCATTTCCCCTGCTTTTCCATAAAAACTATATATTTCCCAAAATGCGCCTTTAGAGACCGGTTGACCGATCTCCAAGTCTACATTCCAAAAACTCCCATCACCATCTTCCAAAATGCCGCTCGAAGCCGAGCCGCAAAAATCCATCCCGAGCTACGTCAAATTCGTCACCGGCGGGCTGGCAGGGTGAGTTATAGAGAGAGAGCGCGCGAGAGACAGAGAGACCGAGAGAGATAATTCCAAATTTCAGCATGGGCGCAACGGCCGTAGTTCAGCCCCTCGATCTCGTCAAGAATCGCATGCAGCTCTCCGGTCAGACTGGGAAAAAGGTACCTAAAAATTGAATACGACATTTTTGTGTTTTTAGGAATTCCGCTCGTCTTTCCACGCGATCAGCTCCATCCTGAAGAACGAGGGCGTGCTGGCGTTGTACAACGGGTTGTCGGCTGGACTGTTGAGACAGGTAGGCATCGAGAGAGAGCGAGAGAGAGAGAGAGAGAGAGAGAGAGCTTGAAGCCGAAGCCTAAGCCTAAGCCTAACCTAACCTTAAACCTAAGCATATACTTGCCTTTTCAGATCACCTACGGCGCCACCCGCCTCGGCGTGTACTCCTACCTTTTTGAGAAGGTTTCCGGGTAAGACAGTTTTTATGTTCATCTACCGACCCCAATTTCAGACCCTCCGGCACAAACCTCAGCTTCCCCACGAAAGCCTCGATCGCGATGACGGCCGGGGCTATTGGCGCCTTTGTCGGCACCCCCTCCGAGTTGGCCCTGATACGGTAGCTGCCCCATCCCATAGCACCCTGCATCCAGGATGACGAGCGATGGCCGACTTCCGCCCGACCAGCGCCGCAACTATCGAAATGTGGTGGATGCTCTCGTGCGTGTAGCCAAGGATGAGGGGCCGACAGCGATGTGGAGGGTGGGTTTACGCCTTTCTGGCGTTATCGAGCTGTTCTACTTGTTCACCTCTTAAATTAAAAATGTCCACTGGTGTCAACGTCAAGTCATGCAACAACTTGAAGCTGGTGAACTGCTCGAACATGTTGAAACAGGCTAAAAAGCTTTCCCACGGAATCCAATTTTTCTAAATTTTAGAGAAGGTGCTTTTAAGCTGTTTTTACGGTTCCTAAGCGCAGAAGTTTTACAATTTTTGTTAAAAGAATATAAAATATCTATTTTTTTTGTTGTCGACCGGAGATGTCAGAATTGTCGCCGATCTACGGTAACTCGAAATTGCCAAACTCGTCGAACTCGTCGATCTCGTGCAAAATTCAGCATTTTAGGGCTGCGTCCCAACGATGTTGCGCGCTACCGTGATCGCCGTCTCGCAGCTGGCCACCTACTCGCAGGCCAAGCAGATGCTGCTCGACTCGGGGACGCACAAGGACGGTCTCTTCTGCCATTTTGTCGCCTCCATGTGCTCCGGATTGTGCGCGACCATTGCCTCGATGCCGGTCGACATGGCGAAGACGAGGTATGGTTTACGCCTAGGCTTTGGGGCCTAGGCTTAGGTTTAGGATTAGGCTTAGTCATAGGCTTATGCTTAGGTATAGTTTTAAGCTTAGCCTTAAGCTTAGGTGTAGGTTAATTGTCATTTTTTCAGGATGCAGTCGATGAGGATGATCAACGGCGTGCCAGAGTACAAGAGCGCTGTCGACGTATGGGGAAAGGTGAGAGAGAGAGAGAGAGAGTGAGCGAAAGAGAGAGTGAGAGCGAAAAACAGAGAGCGAGAGAGAGAGAGAGAGCGAGAGAGAGAGAGAAGAGCGAGTGAGTGAGAGAGAACCATCCAATTCTCCAGGTGGTCCGCAACGAGGGAGTCCTGGGGTTGTGGAAGGGCTTCACCCCTTACTACTTCCGGCTTGGCCCCCACACCGTGCTCCTCTTCATTTTTGTCGAGCAGCTGAACGCAAATTTTTTCGAGGTATCTGTTTTCTCTATTTTTTTAAATCGATCGGGGAATTTCAGATACTACCTTGGGGCCGAGGCGAAGCGCACGATCTAGTCGACCACACGAGAAGCGACCAATTAATTTATTCGAATACGGTGTACCCTGAAATTCCGATTAATAAATTGTTTTTAATCGATTATTGAAGACGTACACGTCTAAGGCGAAATACAGAATAATCTGGACAAAAATGCCGATAGTCTAAATGACGATCGCAAAAATGCCGACATCCAAGACGCCGACAGCCGAAATCCAGCCTGGCCGTTATACCGACATCAGAAATGCCGACAGCCATAATCCCGACCTTGCAAATCTTGACAGCGAGGTCGCGACAGCAAAAATCCCGACAGATCAAATGCAGAAAGTCAAAATCCATAATCACGACAGCTAAAATGCCGACAACCAAAATCTAGACAAGCTGAAATCCCGACAGTTAAAATGCCGACAACCAAACTCCCGACATCTTGACGCTAATTTCAAGGTCACTGCTTTTTTGAACAGCTTTTCGCAAGTCGGGAGCTGGGCTGTCGGCATTATGAATGTCGGCATTTCCGAGTTTTTCCATCAAATGCCATCTCCAAAAAGCATGTGGGAGGCGAACACCCAAAAATAACCTAGAGGCCACAAATCGGTCTCTAAAAATCTGGGCTACGACGCAAGTAGGTGCAGGTGATATTCAACGCTTTCCCCGGATCCAGAGCGACGGTGTCAAAGAGCTTTCGAATTCATAACAATTTTGGACTATTCCTGCAAACTTACCGTATCCGCTGATGATCAATTTATGGGGCCGCGAGATCACCTACGAGTTCCACCCTGAACTACGGGTCTTCTACATTGCTACCTGTTTTACTTGTCCTATCAACTTGTATGCCGGGTACCTCATCTACGCAAAGACGCCGCCGGAAATGCGCGATTATCGCTATATTTTGATGCATATTTGGGTTGGTTCACTTTAGGAATGATAAACAAAGAATGCGCAAGAGATCACGTGTAAAATCTATGTGAAATCTAAAAAAAAAGCTACGTAAAATCATGTAAAAATAATTAATGATGATCGTTGATGATTTTGGCTGATAAAAAATCCTTAAAAGTCCAATAGAGTAGCAGAAAAATGTTGCATTTTTCTGCAAAAATGCGGGATGATTCTAGGCTTGGTCATCGCTAGCCGATGTGCTCCTCATCCTTTTCCTGGAGCTCCAACTCTTCCTCCCGCTGTTCGGCGGCACGACCTCATCAGCATGGAACGTCTACTTTGCCCCGGTGATGCCCGATTCCGGATATAGCTTCTGGGTCAGTAGCTCGGCTTTCAGCAGCAAAACAAATGGCACAAGCGGTCAGGCTTCATTCAGAATCTCAGGAATTTTCAGGAAAATTCAGGTCTTATAGGTGTTTCAAGCTTACTTAGCCTAACTAAAAATTAGAAGAAGTTAGGCAAGGATCGACAAAAACAACATTGTAGATGATCCTCATGCTCGCCCTAGTTAACACGTCACTCGCGATCCTGGACGGGTTCTTCTACCGTTTAGCGGCCCTAGACTCGTTTGGCTCCGCGCATTTTAAAAGGTAAATTTATCTCGCTATCGCTCTCCGTCTCTCTCTCGTTCTCTCCCCCTTCCTCCTTCTATTTATTATTTGTATTATATCTGTATTTAAATTTTACAGAATCCTCAAAGCCGTCGCCATCTTCATGCACACCTTCAATTCGGGCCTGACACTGATCTGCCAGTTTGTCTCGTACACCCCAAGAGCTGAAATGGACACTTTCATCTTGCGCGAGTATCCGCAGCACGCGGACATCTTAACGCTTTCCAATTACGTTTTGCTCGAGCCGGCGTTAAATCCGCATAACGCATACCTCTTCGCGGTGATCCCTGCCGGGAATTTTGTGGTAACGCTGATGGTCGCCTGGACGGTGCGTAGGATTTATGCGAGGCTGAATGTGGGTTTTGCAGAAATAGTAGAAAGCCTAAGCCAAGCCAAGCGAAGCCAAAGCCCATGTCAAAGCTTATGAATACAGCCCTAAGCTCAAGCCTCCCTAAACCAAGCCTAGGCTAATCTTCAGCTAAGCCTACGCTTAAGCCTAAGTCTAAACCTAAGCCTAAGCGGAAGCCTAAACATAGGCCTACACTTAGCTTGAGCATAAGCAGCACGATGCAGAATCACTTTCCGGAACATCAAAAATCGATGAGTGCGCAGAGCTATCGAATGCATAGGATGTTGCTCCGATCACTGATCATTCAGGTTTAGTTTAATCCATCTATCCAATTTCTTAGCTACAGTAAATTGCAGGTGCTTTCGCATTAGCGGGGGGACGCGTAAAAAATTTTTAATAATAAAAACGGCCCCCTTCCCTTCGTCCTCCACATCTTCCTCTCCACTCCTCCCCTTCCCCCTCTTCCACCGGATAACCGTCCAGTACCGTCCGGTAGGCTGTCCTACAAAAATCATGTTTAGATCACGACACCAGCCATCTTTTTCTATCTCCCCACCTGGTTTGGATGTTCCTATTTCTTCTTCGAGCGAACCGGCTCCTCCGATTTGGTTAACCGTAAGCTTTGCCATTTAATGAAGAATTTTTCTCCAGTAATTGCCCACATCTTTCTATGCCTATTCTGCCTTCACGCTTTCTTGAACGTGCTGATTGTTATCATCACGATAAAACCCTACAGGATTGAAGCATGTCAGATGCTGCAGCGGATTGGATTGTTGAGGTAAACTGGAAAATCGGCTTTGGAAGCTTAAGCTCTCGTCTAAATCAAGCCCATGCCTATGCCTAAGCCTAAGCGCAAGCCTATGCCTACACCTACGCCCATGCCAAGTCTATACCAATCCTAAGCCTAAGCCTAAGCCTAAGCCCTAAGCCTAAACCCTAAGCCTAAGAATAATAAGCCCAGGCCAAGTCAAGGCTAAGCCAAGCCCATTTTAGAAGCACGAACCGCATCGACAATGAGATGAGAGGTGACAATACTTCCGTCACCGGAGCAACCATCCAGAAAAGTGAAATCTTAGAAAATCTCTGGATGGTTTAAATTATACATGGGTCGACGCTTGCATGCGGCGCATAAGCGTGGCTGGCCACGCTCTTCCGGAGCGTGGAGGACCACGCTTATGCGGCGCTTTATGCGTGCTTTTTCACGCGCGCGATTTAACTCCAGATGCAAATCAAAAATTTAAAGGACATATATTTATGATTTCGATTTGCAAAATGAATTACCGATACATAACTATCAGGGTCATCTTTAAATTTTGGTAAATAAACAAGATAGTTCGTCACTCAACTTCTTGTTAATTAAGTTCTCGAAAACGGATCGATTTTTGCTTTCATGTCCCTTGGAAAACTTTGATTTTGCATTTTAGAAGCTTTGCATAAGCGTTTCCGGAGCGTGGCGGGCCACGCTCATTTCGGCGTGGTTTATTAAGAGGCACGCGCGCCAGCGTGGCTCTCCACGCTCCGGAAGAGCGTGGCCGGCCACGCTTATGCGGCACATGCAAGCGTCGACCCATGTATAGTTTAAATTATTTAAAGAAGTTTTCGATGAACAAATGGATAAAAATTTATTCGTCTTGTGTACAGATAAATATGCTCTAATACTTGGGCTCGGCCGGCTTGGGGATCTTGGCCTTCTCCATGGCTTTTCCCTCCCAGAAACTCCAGGAAAGACGCTGAGGAGGGCACTTCTTGACGATGGCGCGGATCTCGGCTGCTTTCTGAAAAAGAATAAAATAATGGACACAGAAAGAGAGAGAGAGAGAGAGAGAGAGCGAGAGAGGGGAGAGCGTGAGAGGGAAAGGGAGAGAATCTTACCTCCGGAGTGTACTTTTCACGCTGAACCTTGCAAGCATTTTCCCGGAATCCGTTATCGCCGGCCCAGGCTGGAATAAAAATAATGTAAAACGAATAAAAACGTAAACGTAAAGTAATTCGTTAATTTAATTTAATATATATGACGTCTTTTAGCAATTTTAATAAATAACAATATACAAACCGTTTGTAATGTACTCTCCCGGCTCGGGCAGCTTCACGCCGCACATTGCCGAGTTCAAGTCGCCCTCAAAACTCGTTGGCAACGGGTTCATACGTTCGGACTCATTGAGCGGAGCCTGAAAGGGAGAACCAACTTTTTCCGCACTTACGATGTCCAATTAGTTTCCGTTTTTTGAGCATGAAAACTTACAAAAAAGTCCTCGATCACCTCGACCTTCATGTAGCAGCCGAAGTTACGGAGCGGATCCTGCTCGCATGTGTAGTTCTCGCGCTTGCTGATCCGCATGTGGGTCACTAAGGCGGAGATTTTAAAGGGACCAATAAGTTTTAAGGAGCGCTTCCTTTGCGAACACTTGCCGTGCGTCTCTCTCTCTCTCCCTCTCTCTCTCTCTCTCTCTCTCTCTCTCTCTCTCTCTCTTTCTCACTCTCTCTCTCAGGCTTTCTGTTTCATTCTTTCTCAGGCTCGCTCTCTCACACTCCCTATCTCTCCACCTCCCACCCTCTCTCCACCTCTCTCTCCAACTCTTTCGCTCTCGCTCTCTCTCTCTCTCTCAACATCTCTCTCTCTCTCTCACATTCACTCTCACTCTTAGGCTCTATCGAAAAACTCACAATAGTGCAGGCTGCAGACCTTGTAGACCGGATCATCCCGAATCAGATCCTCGAACATCATCTGGGGACAAGAGCACGCGAATAGCGCACAAGGCAGCAAGAAGGCGCACAGAAGGGCAACATGTTGGCGTAGCATCTCGTAGCTGTTTGGTGGTCTGGGCCCAACTGCCCGGCCATTCGCTTATATGCTGGGTGTGTGTTTATGTAAACAGGCCCTTTTTGCTCTTTGCCCGGCCCCTTAGGGGCGACCCCGGAAGGTTTCGGAAACAGTTTTGCCGTGACCCCGAACGATATAAGCGTTTTTTGCACGTTTGGAATGTTTAAATGGCCCTGAAAAAGAAGCCGGAAGTATAATGAAGCGGGGAATGGGCCGGAAAAGCAGCAAAAATTCAGGAAAGCTATAAAAAATGGGAAAGCGGTCTTTAAGCGGATTAGTAGGTATCGATGCAGATTATTGATGCTAAGAATTCAGATTTTTGTCTTTCTTGATTTTTTGGGATTTCAGAACAACACGCAACGGGGCCTAAACTTACGTTTAAGTCTAAGCCTAAGCCTAAGCCTAAGCCTATGCCTAAGCCTAAGCCTAAGCCTAAGCCTAAGCCTAAGCCTAAGCCTAAGCCTAAGCCTAAGCCTAAGCCTAAGCCTAAGCCTAAGCTTAAGCCTAAGCCAAAGACCAGGCCAAAACTTAAGCCTAAGCAGTCTAAGCGATAAAATTCCATCCTTACCATCTGAGTCACCTTCAAATTTTCTATTATTATTTTCACGTCTGGTACACGGGTTGTATTTGACCAACTGTAGGTGGCGACCCGGGTAAACAGAAAATCCCCGAAAAATGCCCTTTTCACTTTCAAAAATGGCCGGGACAGGTGGTGCTCCTTGGCCAACCGGACGATTTGAATATATTTGGTCAGACTGGAAAATAGATGCGATTTTCGAAACTGCACAAATTTTCCGAAAATGGTTGATCGGATGCTACACCGCTGAAATTAAAAAATTCGGATCAGGATTCGAAGCTTTAAAATTGCTGAAATCGAAAAACCGAAGGAATTAAGCTTCACAAGGTGCTAAGCTTAAGCTCAGGCTTAGGCTTAGGCTTGGGTTTAGGCTTAGGCTTATACTCAGGCTTAAGCTTAGGGTTAGATTTCGGTTTCTCTAAAATAACGTGTGTTCCAAAATGATTTTCCGGAAATGCTGTATCTATGTCCAGAGGCCTCGGCAGGAAAATCTGAAAACGGCATCGTGCTCTCCGTAGTCGATTACCAGGGGGTAGCCGCGTGCGTTTGTCGATATTCCAACCTTTGCCTGCGCCCTTTCCTTGTAAGACTTCTAACGCGGTTAGTCTTTTTACTCATAGGCTGCTTTTTTAAAATTTCGCTTTAGTACATCATCTACAACTTACAAAAACTGATGTCACTCTCTTCTTTAATGTCCTCGGATCTGCCTAAGTTTTCCGCGACTCCCTCCCCCTTTTCCTGATCCTCATCTACTTCAAAAAGTACTACACTGTACTCCACGTGCCCCAACGCAAAAACAAAAGACGGGCCTTACAAAGACTATCCCGAAAAAGACAACAATCTAGAGTTTGTAAGAAGAAAGGCGTTGCATCCAGGAAGGCACCAAAAATGGCTGCCTCGCGCGCTGGACGTAAACAGTAGGGGATACATTACAGCGACATCGTTGAGGTGGAGAACAGGCCCCGGCCGGCCGGATATAAGCGACGATTTCCAGGAATTTCTCTCAAGGTAACCATGCAGTACTTTCTCGTATTGTTACTATGTGTCGGGTCGTCGGCCGTGTCGCAGGATGCTATTAAGAATATGGTAAGCCAGGCGTCAAGGAAGTAATCCTAAGCCTGAGCCTAAGCCTAAACCTGAGCCAAGCCCAAGCCCAAGCCTAGACCTAAGCCCAAGCCCAAGCCTATGCTTAGGTCTAAGTATATGCCTAAGCCAAGCCTAAGCCTAATCCTAATCCTAAGCCCAAGCCTAAGCCCAGCATAAGCTTCGTTATCCAATTCAAGACCTTCAGGTAAAAAGCACAGCGGTCGGCGCCCTCCACGAAGCGAAGTCTGCCGGCGGCAAGATGCGGATGTGTACTTGTCAGGTAAGCGCAACTCTTGATTTTTTTCTATCCACTGCTACAGGAAATGGACCAATGCGTCGAAGAAGCGAAGGGCCAGACAGACCAGTGTGCCGAGCCCTGCTTCAAGGAGTTCGAGAAGCTGAGGATGCTCGAGAAGCCGCAAGTGCTGAAAACTTGCCTCCAGAGCAAGAAGCGGATGCTCGTGCAATTGATCCCGTGTTTCAAGCAGCATTTGCATGCGTGGGTTACTTAGAGAGGGAGAGCGAGAGAGAGTGCAAGAGAGTGAGAGAGAGAGAGAGAGAGAGAAAAACACTCCTTTCAGGTGCACCGAGGGCGAGACTGACAAGATGGTACCTGCAATGGACTTCAACGCCTTCCTCGGAAAGTAAGAGAATTCGAGCGAGAGAAAGAGCGAGAGAAAGAGAGAGAGAGAGCCGGAAAAAGATGATTCCAATGATTCCAAAAAAGAGAAAGAAGAAGATGAAAGAAGAGAGAGAGAGCTGCAGATTCAGCGGGCTGATTTAGGGTCGAAGACGACCTCCTCCTCAAAGCCCAGGCCTTCTTGAAGATGTCCAAGTCGAAGAACGTCAATGTAGGCTGGGCCTCGTTTACACTCATGCTCAAAAAACTTTAGGAGGTCCCAAGCCATTAAATCGGCCGGCTTCTGCATGAAGAACTGCATCATCAAGGAGAAGAACCCACATGGCTTCTGCTTTGAACGAATCGGGTGAGTTTTCGAATCAAGCCTAAGCTAAGCCCCGGCTTCAGCCACAGCTTCGTCTAAACCAAGCCTGTGCTTAAGCCAAAGCCTGCTAAGCCCCAAAACTAAGCTTAATTTAGATGTATGCCCCGAATCACCGACGCCCAAGCAAAGCAGGCGATCGAGAAGTGCTCTACGCAAGTGAATTGGAAACAGGAGGTGCAGACGATCTGCGACTGCAGCCGCGAAGCGGGAATTGGGTAGGGAAACTATATGCTGCATTGCGTTGCATTATCCAAATTTTAGCGATCTCCAAGACTTCTGCAAGCTGATGATCAGCACCTAATCGACGCGGATGACTAATTTTTACGGGATTGAATAAATACTTGAAAGCAAATGGCGTTATTTTCTTATTTTTCGTCTTTGCTTAGGCTTAGGCTTAGGCTTAGGCTTAGGCTTAGGCTTAGGCTTAGGCTTAGGCTTAGGCTTAGGCTTAGGCTTAGGCTTAGGCTTAGGCTTAGGCTTAGGCTTAGGCTTAAGCTCAGGCAAAGTCACAATCTAAACACAAATATATCAACCACCGGTCAACCTTTGTTTATTTTTCATCGTCTGGAAGGTGTTGCCCGAATACGGGCCATCTCATTGGCTCTGTGGTCTGTGCACCGGAGAGTGATGCCAGCATCTCTCCTTTGCTCAGCGGAGAGAGAAAGAGAAATGGAGAGAGAGAGAGAGAAACAGATAGAGAGAAACGGAGAGAGCGAGAGCGTGCGAGGGAGCACGATTCCCACTGGAACCCGTTCTTGTTTTGTTTTTCCCGGCGGCGGTGGCTCGACCTCCCCCAGCCGGCCCCGCGCATCCAAACAACTAGCCGATTTTGTAGCAAACACCTTTGAAGAAAGCGTGCTGGAGATGAATATCCGTTTTGGAAGCCCGACAACAACAAGGGCGGCGAGGTCGTTGAGTTTTGTGCCCAGACCAGCGGTATAAAAGTCCAAAGCGAGGATCAGTAGCCAGAGCTCAGCTCAAGTCTTGAAATGAGAACCCTGTCTTCTTTTGCCTTGTTGGCTATCGTTGCCGCGGTCACCCTGGCCAAGGAGATTCCGAAGGCGCAGCAGGCTGATGCGCTCGACGCGACCAAGGAGATTGTAAGTCGATTTTCTAAGCCTACCTCAGCCTAAGCATCAAGCCAAAGCCAAAGCCTAAGCCTAAGCCTAAGCCAAAGCCTAAACCTGAGCCTCAACCTCCTAAATTGTTCATCTCCAGGTCAAAGGCAAAGCCATCCACGCCCTCGACAAGTCCCGCGCCAGCCACGAAACCATGCGCGAGTGCTCTTGCAAGGAGATGGACGAGTGCATCGAAGACATGAAGACCGACGCCAAGCAGTGCTTCGATCCCTGTTTCGACGAGTTCAAGAAGATCCAGATGGTCGAAAAGCCCGACATCTTGAAACAGTGCATCAAGGACAAGGAGAGGGTGCTCGATCGGGTGATGCCGTGCATCAAGACCAACTTGCACGCGTGAGTTTTTGATGATCTAGGCCGCTCTCATTCTCTCTCTCTCTCTCTCTCTCTCTCTCTCTCTCTCTCTCTCTGACTCTTGCCCTCGTCTATCTCTTCTAAATTTTATATTTCAGCTGCACCGACGGTTCCACCGAGAAGAAGGTCCCCACCCTCGACTTCAACGCGTTCATCGGACAGTAGGTCAAGCCATACAAGCCTGCTAAGTTCGTTTTAGAGTCGAAGATGACATCGAGACCAAGGCCGACGCCTTCTTGAAGACCGTCAAATCCAAGGAGATGAACGTGAGTGTTTTAATGCATTTATCGATGATATTCCTTTTAGACCCTTGCCGCCGCCCTCAAGTCCGGCCAGCTCTGCTTCAAGAACTGCTTCCTCAACGAGAAGAACCCTAAGGGCAACTGCTTCGAGCGCAAGGGGTAAGTGGGAGCTGCTACCTATGTACCGCTACCTATCTACCGTCCGAGTCGTAAGACGTCGAAAGCGTCTAGAATATTCTAATAGAGTATATTTTGTATTTCTAGTTGCATGCCCCACATCACTGACGCCGCCGCCAAGAAGACGATCGACACTTGCGGCGACAAGATCGACTGGGGCCACGAGATGGAGACGATGTGCACGTGTGGAAAGCAAGCGGGACTTGGGTGAGTATTTGGTGAACTTTTTGACGCCGTCGGCAGCCCGGGAAAGCGAATTTTTACCTCAAAAACTTAAATTTTTAATTTCAGGAATTTATTTCTCTTTGAAAAATCTAGAATTGAGGAATTGCTGAAGTAGAAAATATTATTTTTTTTCCAAATTTTAATAGCGTTTCCTAGCAGTTCTGAACGGCTAGAGGGCGGTGCCGTCCGAGAAGATAGCAGCTTTGTAGGTGTAATAATTTAGTCCTCATAATTAATAGCAGCACAACCCAAACAAGAAAACACTTCTGAACGCC